GGCTGGGCCGCCGGTCCCGGGGGGCGAGGCCGAGCCACCGCCCCCGGGACCGGGAGGAGGGGCCGCCTCGGTCCGGAGAGGCTGGGCGGGCGCGGGCGGGCGCTGGCGGCCCTGCGCCGCCGCTGCCGCCTCCGCCTCCGCCGCCTCCTCTCGGCGCCCGCGCCCGGCGGCCGGCCCGGAACCCGGCGAGAGAGCGGGGGCGGGAGGCGGGCGCTCAGAGCTGGCTGGAGCCCCGGCCGCCCCCGGGCCCCCGGCCATGTCGGCGGAGGAGATGGTGCAGATCCGCCTGGAGGACCGCTGCTACCCGGTGAGCAAGAGGAAGCTCATCGAGCAGAGCGACTACTTCCGCGCCCTCTACCGCTCCGGCATGCGCGAGGCCCGGAGGCCGGAGGCCGGCGGCCCCGAGGTGCAGCAGCTGCGCGGCCTCAGCGCCCCGGGCCTGCGCCTGGTGCTGGACTTTATCAACGCCGGCGGCGCCCGCGAAGGCTGGCTCCTGGGCCGGCGCGGGGAGCCGGGCGGTGTCGGGGAGGAGGAGGAGGACATGGACGAGGTGAGCCTGCTGTCCGAGCTGGTGGAGGCCGCCTCGTTCCTGCAGGTCACGTCCCTGCTGCAGCTGCTGCTGTCCCAGGTGCGGCTCACCAACTGCCTGGAGCTGTACCGCCTGGCGCAGGTGTACGGGCTGCCCGACCTGCAGGAGGCCTGCCTGCGCTTCATGGCCGTCCACTTCCACGAAGTGCTGTGCAAGCCCCAGTTCCACCTCCTGGGTTCTTCTCCTCAAGCCCCCGGGGATGTCAGCCTGAAGCAGAGGCTGAGAGAGGCCCGGATGACTGGGACTCCTGTCCTCGTGGCGCTGGGGGATTTCCTGGGGGGACCCCTGGCCCCTCACCCCTACCAAGGGGAGCCCCCGTCCATGCTCAGGTACGAGGAGATGACTGAGCGTTGGTTCCCGCTGGCCAACAACCTTCCTCCTGACCTGGTGAATGTCAGGGGGTACGGGTCCGCCATCCTGGACAACTACCTCTTCATTGTGGGCGGCTACAGGATCACCAGCCAGGAGATCTCCGCGGCGCATTCCTATAACCCCAGCACCAACGAGTGGCTCCAGGTGGCCTCCATGAACCAGAAGAGGTAAGCACCCAGCCGCTCTGCTGCTTTCCCATGCATCCACCTGTTCGGGACCCCGTTCCCGCGTGTTTACTGGGCAGTCACAGGAGGCTGTGCTGAGGTGGGAATGACATCCTCGGGAGTGTTGCTGGCCTTGACTCTGGCAAAGTTCCCGATGAGCTAAGAACTTGCTAGGAAGCAGAGGCCCTAGTGAGGTCAACTAGCTGAGTAGTTTCCTTGCAGGTATCGCACCGTTAGACAAATTGCCATTTTTTGGCGTCTCAGTGGAAAAAAAAAGATGTCTGTGGTTTCCTAGAAGGATACTTTCAAAGAAAGCTTTCTTTAATTTTGCTTGTATTTTTACCTTTTTTTGTTTTTTTAGGACCTAATCCTGATTATAATGACACACGGGCAGTAACCTGTAACACTGACTTTGGAGGATCTTGTTGTTAATGACTTTGAAGCTTTCCGCACTGAGGCACCAGGCTATGATCGGAAAATAATCATTGGACTTGTGTTAATATTAGCTATACAGGATTACCTTTCTTACTTTTTGTCCTCTCTTTTGCGGATCACTTTTCTTCCCAGACAGTCTTCATTATGGACCCAAGACTTGAGCCTGGCATTGGTCACCTGCAGAATTAGAACATTACCATCCACGCCAGCCTTCTTCCTTCCCATCCTGCAAATCCCTCCCAACATGCACTTGGGTGACTTGAAGAAAGGCAGAGAAAAGGAGGAGGCTGGGGGGAGGAGGAGGGAACAGAGCCAGGAAAAGTATTGGAAAATAAGAGCAAAGAGCATTATAGGAAGAAGTGGTAGGGGGAAAAAAGATGGTAGGGGCCCAGGATGGCCCAGGGCCATTCAGAAGTGGGAGGAAGAATCAATGTGACCCAAGAAAGCACAGGAATACCTTTTCTTCTTGGCCACCTGTACCCATCTCAAGCCCCACCATGGTTCCTTCTCTGAAGTGTGGAACGAGGAGTTGGGGGACTCACAGCCAGGCAAAAAAAAAAAAAACCAAAAAACTCTTAACAGGAATGGGAAGGTCATTACACATGTTTACTTGACTCAAGGTTCCACCCCCCCCCCCCCCCCCGCAGCCTATGGTGGGGAGGGTCCACTGGCGTTATTTTTCTACTATAACAAAATTCAATTTGGAAAGTTTTTTTCTGATGATAAAAAATACATATTTATGCTAGAAAACTGGGAAAATGTCAAAGAACGAAGAAGCAGAAAGACTATCACTCCCACTCCCTCTGATAACCACCTACAGGTTGTGGCTTATTTTCTTCCAGCCCTTTTTTTTTTTTTTTTTATTTTTTTTTGGCGGAGCTCACTGTTGTGGCCTCTCCCATTTGCGGAGCACAGGCTCCGGACGCGCAGGCTCCGGACGCGCAGGCTGCGGACGCGCAGGCTCAGCGGCCATGGCTCACGGGCCCAGCCGCTCCGTGGCATGTGGGATCCTCCTGGACTGGGGCACGAACCCGCGTCCCCTGCATCGGCAGGCGGACTCTCAACCACTGCACCACCAGGGAAGCCCCTTCCATCCCTTCTTTAGTGCATTATTTACACCATTGGGATGATGTATTCAAAATTTGATATCAGAGTGTTATTTTTATTTTTATTTTTATTTTTATTTTTTTTTCCCGGTACGCAGGCCTCTCACTGTTGTGGCCTCTCCCGTTGCGGAGCACAGGCTCCGGACGCGCAGGCCCAGTGGCCATGGCTCACGGGCCCAGCCGCTCCGCGGCATGTGGGATCCTCCCAGACCGGGGCACGAACCCTTGTCCCCCGCATCGGCAGGCGGACTGTCAACCACTGCGCCACCAGGGAAGCCCCAGAGTGTTATTTTTAAACAGTTTCTAAGAGCTTTAGTTGAAGCAACAAAGGAACATGCAGTGGTGATGGGCGGTGCTCAGATTAGGGGTACAAGGCCCAGCAGGTTGTCACCTCTACACATGTGTCTCCTGCTGTACATTTGGTGCTCAACACGCCACCCCTAGATCCAGAACTCTAACACGGCACCTCATGGGATTCTCATTTCTCCACAAATCCTTGGTAGTCCTTTCCCCCCGCCCCCAGGA